TTTAACCATTAATATTCAATATATTGATGGACTATTCCAGATCGAGTTTTGAAGAGGCCTAATTATGGGGGCGATCCTTCCAACCTAGTTTGTCCCATTCGCAAATGTCAGGATTCGAACTCCTGACTTTGCTTAAGGGATCTAGTGCCTCATCTCCAATGTTTTTAAAACCGGACCGGACCTTGAACCGGTGAAAGTACTGGTTTAACCATGGTTCAACCGGATTTTTATATAAAATAATATTTTTTAAAATTTTACATAATATTCAAAACAATATTAATATATATATAACACTTTTTTTTAAGTTTACAATATTAAAAGGTATAAAAATATCACAAGTCATAACATATATAAGTTAAAAAAACATAAAATCAAGTGAAACAAAATGATTCAAATCAACTACAACATAATATTTAAGGTAAAACATATTAAATAATAAATATAATTATATAACTATAATAAAAAATAAATTTGGGGTTGAAAAAATCATAACAAACGATGTCATTTGGTTTAATTTTTTTTTAAAAAATCTCACATGGCTAAAAAACATAGAAGAGCATCTCAAAAGTCTAAAGAGTAAAAATATGAGAACATAACAATCCCACATGGCTAAGAAACATAGAAGAGCATCCCAACCGACTTCTATAAATACTAGAGGTAATTTGACATTCAAAATCATGGAGCCTTTTGGTGAGCACATAGCAAATTATTCATTCGCTTCAATTTAGCTCGAATTTTAGGCTTCAATCGAGCTTCTAATTTTTTTTTGAGTTCGAGCCTTTTTGAGTTAAGTTTCAATATTATATTTCGAGTTCGAGTTGAACTTGATAATTTTTAGCTCGTGAGTTTTTGAGTCGAGTTGAACTTACTTTTAAAGTTTTCGAGTTCGAGTCGAGCTCAACAGTACTCGAGTTCGAGTTAGCTCGTTTAACAAATGACGTCGTTTGATTTAATTTTTTTTTAAAGAAAAAAAGAGAACCGGCGGTTCACACCAGTTTTGCCGGTTCTCAGCCGGTTCTTCTGGTTCTTTATCGGTTCTGTGCTCATCCGGTTTTGGGAGTTAACCGGACCGGACAGGCCACCGGTTCATGGTTCAACCGATCGAACATGCCAGTCCGGTCTGATTTTAATAACATTGCTCATCTCATTAGACCTACTGATTATTAGTGTATTAAATAAGACTTTGATGTACTTTATCATTAAAAGTTTAATATCCATTAGGATTAAAGTTCTATATGATGTCTATTCCTTATATATATAAATATTGAGTTTAAATAAAATATTATATACAATTTAAATTGGGATAATAATATAATAATTTTCTCTCTTTTATCATTCATCTTCTTATTATTCGATTTTTTATTTTATTACAATTTAATCAATTCTAATTTCTCTTGTAAAATTTTCTAATCCACCATCCATCCATATATATATATATCCGATAATAACTAAAATTTATGACGAAAAATTATACTAACAAACAATTCTTACATAATCTAATGTAAAAAAAACGAATTTTTTTGGGTATGAATAAATATGTTCAAAACTCGAAAACAGTCAACCTTAAATTCAAAATTCCAACCAGAAAAATCTAAGAACTGTGTATTTAAGCCACTCGTGTCCACAAGTTCAAGAGCCAAAGGCTTCAAAATAGGACTTTGGGGTTTGTCCACATACGGACGTTGATATTAAATGATGGAACTTAAAAAATTATATTTAAAATTTAGAGAATGTAGAATTATAAAATTTTAGGGGTACGAAATTAAATAATTCATAAAAAAAATATAAAAAAAGTTAAAATATAAGAGGATTTAATATTTTTTAAAGTATACGACAGCACTCACAACACCCATCGGTCCATCCTTGGGTTTGCCAAATGGCCCCTTGTAGACTGAGCCACATAAGCAAATCGTCATGCCTATGTTATCAATGATCCAAAAAATTAATAACCTCTCTTTATCTCGCAGTATCTGAATCGGCATTTGTTTTAGTTTGGTGACTGTAAAAAGTCTTCCGCGGTTAGTACGGTTAGTGACGGTCTATTAACCCTAGAGAAAGATGCGTCAAGATTAGGTAGCAAATGGCATGAGATTCATGATGTTAGCTTCCCTAACAAAATGACTTTAACCTTTAATTCATTCATTATTTAATTAATGAGGTTTGGTCTTTTTCAAATGTTTAGACGTTGAAGACATTGCATGCGTTCATTCTCTATGACCATACTTAACGGAGGATATCTATCTAAATCAACTACCAACAACCCAAGCTTTCGATTTAATTTCGGTAGACCCAATTGATGTTGTTAGCTATCAATTGATTTTAGTTTTGATAAATCACGTGTGACCTGTTAGGAGTTATGTCAAGAAGATCACGACTTCTCGAGAGATGCAAGATTGCAATAATCCTATGTTTAAAGATAATCTTATAAATTTATAAATTCGTTCTTCTTAACATAAAATCTCGCATCGGTCTCTTATTAGTAATACTCACTACATGCATGCCATGAATCTCACAACATTCATATTGCTATATTTGACGTTTATTTCAAAATAATTTAGGTAAAAAAACCTAAAGTAAAATTTAGCATGCTATGGGTTCAAGACATTTGACATTTGTGTATGGATGGGGTTAATAGGTACAGAGAATGTAGTTCCAAACTCAACAACAACTCAACCACCAATTTAGGTAGAAATAGATATTTTAGCACCGAAAGGGTCCTACACTATGCCTTCACTAATCATTAATTTATCTAACATATTAAAGGGACAGCTGAATTCCTAATTTTGGTTCAAAATTTCTCTTCTCAAGCAACCACATAATTATTTAAGTTAATAAACTTGTGTTTTGTTGCTACACCTTATAAGATTGTAAACATTGAACTTTGCAGATTTGAGGTTACATCTTAGGGATTGCGATACCTACTTACAGGGAAGGATCAAGAGAGCTGGTGGGAACAATAGCGGCCTTCTTAAAAATTTTAAATTGTCATATATTTTAGATTTTTTCTATGTAATTTCTATTAATAATCTGTTTTCATCCCGTAGAAGTAGAATTATATAATTTATGTTTCCTCCTAAAATTTTAAAAGTTCGCACCCAATATAAAATCCTACATTTTTCCTTTCTATTCATCTATGTTGATTGAGTTGTACTTTTGTATGGACTAGGAAATGTGAACTAAACATTTTAATTGATTTCTTCAAGTATATGTTTTTCTTTACCAACTCTAACAATTGAAGCCACTCGAATTGCATATTTTTCTCCTTTCTGCTACTAATCAAGATAGTGACATTCATTCTTGAATTTGTAATTCGAATCTTAATATTATATAATGGAATCAAGTGATATTGTTTTCCAAGTAGGTGATAACATATCATCAGAAACGTAAAGAGATGAGAAACCTTTGGTGTGTCGTTTGCTTTGACGATGGTTCATCTTTGAGGAAAATAAGAGCCACACGGTGTGAAATCAAGTGGTCTCTCAATGACCAAAACTTAAGTCAAAACGTCACTGTAATTTGCCCAAAGTCTTTACCTGCACTTAAAACAAAAGATATCTACACTCTGCTTTCCACCAAACATCTGTTCAGAACTTTACTATTATTTCATTATCCGATTGGATAAACAAGATTTAAAACTTAATTTAATCAAGTCGTTAGTGTAATGATAAAAGATTTGTGTCGATTTTATATCTTGATTGAAACCAGGTTCAAAGTTGAAATGCTAGACAACATCTCTCACACTAAACTAACGGGGTTTATTAAACTTGAAATTCGAACAACTCGAAACATTTTAATATTCAACCAATTTCAACCCAAAAATAATCATGCATCAATAAACATTTCAATGATCATTTTCAAAACTTAACATGCAAAGTGTAGTGAAAAGTAAGTATTAGGCTGAAGTCTAAGATACTAAAAGAGTTATTTTAACTATTTTTCCTTTTTTTTCTTTAATAAGCATTTATACTTTTGTTGTATTCAAATAAACCCATATACTTTAATTTGTAATTAAATTAGTCTTATATTAGAAGTTTTTATTTATATAGTAATTTTATGTTCAGAGACCGGGATAAAGTTGAAACATTTTGGGGGAGTCAAAGTGTGTTATAAAATAACTTAAATTAAATTATTACTTTATGAAAGAATTCAAATTGCAATGTTTTCATTTGGCCAAGATGATTCAAAGGATTATATCAAAGTTATTAATTTATGTGAGGAGCCAAAAATCCAATGGTATCATCCAATTATTTAAATATATATAATCACTTATGGATCGATGGGACAGTATGTGATGATCATCCCTAAAAATTTCAAATTCTAATATATTTTAGATATATCTTTGTCTATTGATAATATGTCCTCTAAAATATTATATGTTCGTTCCCTTAAAATATTATAAGTTCACCCCTATTATAAAATTATGTGTCTGTCCCTATATATAACTTAATTGATGAGACATTAATTTAGTTGATATCATTATTATTGTAATATATAAAAGATCGTTGATTCAAATATATTTAAGTGCAATTTACCTTTAATTTAGAATTGATGTTATGGAACTCATTAAGTGATCTTAGTGGTTAAAGAAAATATTATTTTCTCTAGAAGATCCAAATTTAAGCATTTTATAGTCATTCTAGACTAATAAAAGAATCGAGGTTATAAATAATTAAATGTGTGTGTATATATATATACACAAAAAAATGGAACGAGGCCAAGTCCTCAAATAATTTATTTGATTTTAATTATTTTACTTAAATATTATATTAAAATATAAAAAGAAAAGTTATTATAATAATATTAATCATCCTACTAAAACTGATTTTTATATAATTTTTTAATTGAATAGATATTCAATTATTTAATTCATAATATCAATACCAAATTAATAAGAGGGTAATTAATAATATATTGGATTTATAGGTATTTAATAATCCTCCTGGATTCTCCTATTTATTGGTTGAAAAGGGTAACCCCCCATTCTATGGCATGACCCTTGTGGCCTCTTCTTTCTTGTATTTATTTATAAAGAGACTGAATGAAGAATCTCATACATATGTGAGCAAAACCATATCCAAAACAAAACAATACCCTCTTTTTTTTCTCTGTATTCCCCTGGTTTTTGGTGATTGAAGAAGAAAATGGGGAAAGGAAGAGCTCCATGTTGTGATAAGGAGAAAGTGAAGAGAGGTCCATGGAGTCCTTCGGAGGATTTGAGGCTCATCTCTTTTATTCAGAAGCATGGCCACCAGAACTGGAGAGCTCTCCCTAAACAAGCTGGTCAGTCCTTTTCTCTTTCTTTTCAATGATCAAAATTACGAGTTAGGATGAATCGAGAGAGAGTGGGTGAGAGCGATCACATCCCTTAAAATTTTATAAATTTACTTTCTAACATTTTCCATCTATGTTACGAGTCCAAAACTCTTTCCTTTTCAATTGATCTAATTCTCAGTTCTTTCGTCTTGAATCAATGTTTATTAAACCTCCCTTTTTCTCTCTTAATCTGATATCATGCACCGTCACTCAGATATTTTTCATTAAAAATAATTTAAAATGAATACTGATAATATTGTATACAAGTCCATAAATTATTTTACCAGAAGGGAAGTTTGAAACGCTCGTTTTACTTGTTGAAATCTGCAGATACTGCCAATTTTCATCTCACTGGTCAATCTTAATTAGTCTTAAAAAAATCCAGATCAGATTCAGTGAATTTCGTCTCTTTATCGTCACCTAGCAAGCTTTCAAATGTACTTTACAAAAATGATAAAAAAAATCCACCTGCTTACCAATGCAATCCCACCTTTAATGTCATTCCATAATAAGCATATGTATAGCATTGTTTTAGGGTTTTTACGATAATAATAGACGTTCAAATATTCTTGTAGATTTCGTGTTTGAACATGAGACTTTAGAGATAATAACCATCATTTTAACTACCGCTATTGTCACCGAAAATATTAGTCAATAAAGAAATGGCCAGTGTTAGTTGAACCAAAATGTTTGAAGCTGTTCATAACTGGTGTGTTTTGGCATTGCATTTTGTCTTTGTGGATGGTGTTTGGGCAGTTTTGGTGAAATGGAAAAGGCCCGTTCAAGAATATACTCTTGTTCTTATACTTTGCGATTTTCAACTGCAACGTCTGTCATAAGTTGAAATTTCCTACCTAAAAATGAGGCCGGTAAACAATGAAGAGTCAACATCTAGATCGTCCACAAATTCACTTAACTTACTCTTTATTATAAACAAAATTCTAAGATAAAAAAAAATGTAACAAATATCAACATTATGGTTTGAATTTTTAAAAATAAATATTTTATAATTAATTATCAATTGGTTTAGTGATGAGATATTACTTGGCTTAGACGACGATTAATGGACCGATGGGTGCTAGGAGTTGTGGTCGCACTCCTTTAAAATTTTTTTTGATTCTTATATAATATATATATTTTCTATTGATGATTTAATTTTGTATCTGTAAATTTTTAATATAACCTTTTAAGTTTGCACTTACTAACATAAAATCATACATTTGTCATTGTGAATAGAATACACCAAGTTAAAAGGATTCATCTTTATCAATTGATGTGCGACATCTCAACGCATCTATAGATTTTATTGTATTACTTTCCTCATCCGATATAAACATCCCAACACACAAAAAGTTTTAAGTAGCTTTCAATCTTTCAATGGTTGAATTTTGAAGGAAAGAAAACAATGAATGTGAAATGGTTTCCATCACTATCTCAAGGAATTTGTGGTACCATTTATGGAAATTATTGCCTTCAAACATACAAAAGTTTGAATATAGATTGTGTGGATGAATGGGTGTAGGGCTACTGAGATGTGGAAAGAGTTGCCGTTTAAGATGGATTAATTACCTGAGGCCAGATGTCAAGCGTGGCAACTTCACCAAAGAGGAAGAAGACGCAATCATAAGGCTACATGAGACTTTGGGAAACAAGTGAGTTTCTATTTACAGATACCTGTCATCTTCTTCTTCAGTTTATATATGTTTGGTCAAATTCGGGACTTAATCCCTACACTTTAGTTTGAGTTAATTGAACCCATAGAGTGAATTAACTCAATGGTAAAATGGAATTTTATTCTTTCAAGAAGATTCGGGTTCGAGCAATTGTGTCTGTAGGGTTCAGACAGATACCTTATAATCATCATCCCATATTATTCAAAAAAAATGTTGAAAGTGTAGGGACTAAATCTCAATTTGAGAGTAGAAGAGGGACCAAAACTATATTTTAGCCTATATTCTTTTGTCATCTTAATTACTTACGATACAATTAAATTGATTCTCAGGTGGTCTACGATAGCAGCACATTTTCCTGGAAGAACAGACAATGAGATAAAGAATGTGTGGAACACTCATTTGAAGAAGAGATTAGTTTCAAAGAATGAAAATACTCAAAAGAAAGATGAATCCAAGGAGTTTTCTACATCATCATCAAGTTCATGCTTCTCATCATCAAGTGGCAAAAACTCTAGAGAGGCATTTGCAATGCCAGTATCAGACAATGCTCAAGACTTCAAAACTGATCACCTATCAAACCATGGCAGCAGCAGCCCGTCTGAGGAGCCGGAAGGATTATCCAGTTCTTCAATCTCTTCCAACATCACGAATTCCAGTCAGGTTGGTGTTTCAAATCCAGAAGGCCAAGTAGGTTCTTTATGCAACTTCATAGGAGGTTATTATGATGTTAATAACAACGCATCAGAGGAGGTGAACAAACCGGGTATCCTCGATACTGCCTTTGACATCTCGTTCGAGTCCGATTTGGAGTTTTGGAACATGTTAGATAGCTTCGGACCTTTCCAATCCGATGAGATCCAATCACATGATGGCACCCAAAGTTCGAATTTTGAAGTTGAAAATAACAAGTGGTTGATGTACCTGGAACATGAACTGGGACTAGAGTCGAAGGATGGAGGTGAGGCTAACTCGGTAGGTCCCGAGATAAAGCCAGAAGGTGAAATGGAGATGGGTCATTATCACAACACAGTTCAGCCATCAACCAAGTAGCTCTTACTTTTCTTAGAGGGCTTAACTAAGTGGTTTGACTTCATCATGTTGAAAATATACTTTAGGGTTTACCTAACTTGTAGGTCTTTTTAGATGCATGATGGATAAAATAAAATATTCATCTGATCTTCAAGTTAAGCAAATACTACATTGTAGATTGAACCAAACCTAAATTTATCTCCATTTCAAGCAAAATACCATCAACATTTTTAAGTGGGTAGGTGAATATTTTGTTATCAAAAGAAAATTGGATTTCGGTGAATGAAGAGGGTAGGTAAAGTTATCGTACTCAAAATTTTTAAATAATTTTTTTAGAATTTTTGCTTCTAATAGATATTGAACCCACAACTTAAGAGAGAGAATGTATCAACCGAGAGCTTTTAATTACATGTTTTATAGATTTTTTTGAATTAGAGTACTTTGTATTAGAAGTAATTACAAAGCACACCACCTCAAGGACCTCATTAAAAAACCTCCATAATCCTAAATAGAGGAAAAAGAGTGTACCATTGAGGTGGTAAAGATCAACCACCACAAAGACTTACAACACACAAACCAACCCCCATCCCTACAACACTCCCCCTGCAGAACGAAAATAAGCCATCCCATACCAACCAATACAGAAAAGAGGGGGCAATCACAAACGGCATAACCGAGAACATGGACCAACACTTCAAACGAAACAACCACAACATCCAAAGCTTAAACCGAAGACAAGCACTGAGACCAAAGCAACTCACTACCAAAGACTGGTCCATTAGAGAAAGGAGAACTTGAAGCTCGAAATTCAACAGCGCAAAGCAAATATAAAGGATAGGCATCGATTGCATACAGAAAATCCGAAGAAGAACAACTCCCCACGAAGCACAAGCTACCAAGGAAACTCGGGAAACTGCAAGAACACAAAACCAGAATACAGAACTTCACCAGTTTGCCCAAACCCCAAAGCAGCAACATCACCCGAACAAGATTATTGACTACTTGAATTTGAAACTAAGTATATTTAAAATATATGAGTAATTTTAAGCATTCGTATATTTAATATATAGACAATTTAAATTTGATTTGTCTAAAGAAATAAACAATATTATTAAAAATTATAATATAATAATTTTTTTGAACGATTCTGATTCAAATCATACAAACAATAAAAATATAGATATCAAATTTTCAAAAATCGAATAATAAAAGATCAACTACTAAAGCCGAGTATTGTGTACTCACTTTCTTTCGTCCAAGATTAATTGTTTTAATAATGAAATTATATGTTATAACGAATCAATTATAGTTAAAGATATTAAATTATATTATATGTTTCATTTTAACACGAATTAAACAATTTTAGTGGTTAAATAGATGATTATTATCTTTAAAAGTTCTACGTTCGAATATAACGTATGTAGAGAGTGTTTGAACATTCATCATTAAATAGTTGAAAAACTTTTAAACATTTATTACATTTTAATCACTCTATCGTACGCATGCACGTGAGTGTGAGTTAATAACTCATATTAATAATACAAATGAATTATATGACGGGATTGAAACTTTAAAACCAAATGCTGACATTGGAATCGGATAATGAAGCCTTTATCAAATGGTTCAGTTCTATTTCTTTACCTATTTGTTAAAATAAATCTTTAAATTATTATACTAACTACTTGTCGCAACCGTCTTTCGGTTGGGCCCCGAAATTAGGCTTCGACTTGAAATAATTGGGTTAGAGTCGTCACCGATCATTTTAAAACGAATTTAGGTGGGTCAGACACCATCTTACCTAATATGACTGTGTAATCCACTATCAGTAACATTTATTAACTGCAGAACACAAGCTGAGAATTCAGCATCATGTACTTATTGTGACTCCATGAGGTCTGTGAGCGTGTTTTTTCCGTTCTCTGTTCTTGTTGGAAAAATCTGGTGGGAGTGATCGAGATCCTGAACGGTCTGCGCTAAACTTGCAACTGAAAACCGGTTGTCTAATATTGCCTTGGATTTGAAACACTACTGGGCTACACTCCGGTTCTCCGCCGAACTGGAAAACGAACTGAGGATCGGGTTTGGCTCTAACCATTAAATGAAGCTTAGCGGTGGATTTGTCTTAATCGTTTCCGACTTTCATCCACCCATCTTGGAACACTACCGGTCTGGTTTGAGACATATCCAAGTCGACGTTAACCCACAAGCTTCCCACTGCTGACGTTACATGTTCAACCTGTGCGGCCGGTGTAGACTTCGACGCAAAGCGTCAAGGGCTTCCCGGAGAGACTGCGTATCGTCAGTGCATCGAGATGGAAGCCGGATGCGGAGGTGGACGATTCGCGGTGAATCACCTACGCCGTTGCTGAGGGGCAAAAAAGATGTTTGGGATGGGAAGTTCGTGAGCCTCAGCTTGCAGAAACACGACGTCGTTGTCGGGTAAACGTTGGCTCCGGCTGGTTTCGTCGCTTGTGAGAGTTTCAAAGCTAATGATTCGCCGATCAAACTAACGAACGGGCATGGATCCATCGTAAACAACGATGGCAACTAAAAGTGAACGCCGAAGGCAATAAAGACTATTGAATCCTCGAAGTTGGCTCTAATGGAGGCAGTGAAGAACTCCTTCCCCCCTTATCAGATTTCCATCAAAGGAAATGTGGGATCATGTTCTTTTTTCGAGAGAAAGAAATGAAGGGAAAGCTATTATTTTTCTCCCCAGTGGAGTCGCCAAGCTGTCGGAATCGTCTTTCGGTTGGACCCTGAAATTTCCTTTTCAGACTATGAGCTTCGTCTTTCCAGTATTCAGAGGTTACTTTTAACTTGGAGTTATCCTTGACTTTATCTTGATAGCCTTTTCTTAAGTCTTCGAGCTCAAAGCGGACTCTCTTCTGTTCCCTTTCCAGTTTGTCTGCTTTATCTTTCTGTGAGTCGGCATCGAGCTTCCATTGATAACGTTCAGCTTCAAGTTCCTTAATTCTCTGCTTCAGCTCGTTATTCACAGCTTCAAACTCTGCCTTGGCTATCTCAAGTCCGGAAGGGATAGGCCTGAGATGTTCTTCCATAGTCCGAGTGTCTTCATAGTCTGGCACTGGGACGTTATCATTCTTTCTCAATCTTTGCCATTCCACATAATCCGGAGTAAGCATGTCTCTGGCAGCAACGACATCCATTCGAAATACTTTCTTCCATGACTCAGATGCTTCTTTGATCATCTTCTTATAACTGTCACCGCTATACACAAACTCTGATTTAATTAGTCCGTATGTTGCGGGGACAAACTGACTTGCCCCATACTGTCTAAGTGTTAACAACAGAGCGTACCCAACTGCACCCCAAAGTCCGAGTAAGATCATAGTATCAGAATCCCCACACCGGAAAAGAACGTCACCGAGGAATAACCAAGGGGCTCTCCAGGTAATATCCCGATCCTGAAGATGTGTAAAGACTTTCATCCACTTTTCTTTCGAAGCATCTTCATGCCATTTCCTAGTGATGAATTCTTCCAAAGGTGAATAGGTAGTGCTGAACCGGCGATAGGCCACCCCATTGCCTTGTTTCTGTAGCAATTTATAGCATAAGAATCCCATATTTTTGGTTCGGTTTTAGTGTTTTGATGGGATTGAAATGCTACGTGATTTGTCTATTTGATTCACGAAACCCATGATACACCGGATGATTCGGAGCGTGAATTGGTTGCAGCCGCCATGAGGACTCTCCAAGAGTCCTCAGTTTGGACGGTGGTTCATCCCTTCCATGCTAACTATACGGCGTTGAAGGGCAACAGAAGGAAAAACCAAACTTACCTAGGTTTGCACACGTACTGGCCATGGTTGTTTGGCCAGTAGAGTTGCGGGTTGGGCCTGACAAAAACCAAAACAAAAAAAAAAAACATTACTATAATAATATGTGTAATGTAATATGTATACATAATAATGAAACGTTTATAATATATTATATAATGTGGTCGGACGAAAATGAGTGTCGACACTAATTTAAATTATATTGTTTGTTAATTAAAAAAATAAATTTAACTAATGAGATGTAGACATATCATACAAAATTAAGTTTTATTTTGACTAAAAAATAATTTAGGTGCTCAAAATAAAAAATTACATAATTTAGATACTTATTTTGACAAAAAAAATAATAATTCATATTTCAAATGGGTTGATTTCATGTCCGTTAGAGAGATTGTATTCGTTTAGACTTGGTGAAGCTGAATTTAATTGGAGCGGGCTTTTCAAGGTAGGAGCTTCGCCTGAAGTTGTGTCCCGACTAACTGCTGCTCGTCAAGAGTTTGTTTCGAGGTATTGATCTTCAGTGACATATTGAGACTCTTCGAAAGTACCGGAGCTGTAATAGTTTTATAGAAGCTTCTGAGACATGTTTGGTGTAATATTGAGCGGTAATATTCAGGCCCTCGCAAGAAGTTTTGGATTTCATTTGGAGGTTTGAAGCTCAACTCCATCCCATGCGGATCTTCATATCCGGTGTATTTGTTCGTGTAGAAGCACGGAGTTTTGCGTTTTGCATATTGTTATGTGCGGTAGTCTGAGTAAGCTTCCATTAAGAGGAGGATCCATATTTTGTTTCTGTAGCTGCGGATGCTGCTAGTTTAATTCTGTCTCTGGAGGATTGGAAACTGCTAAGTGAAGTGCTTGTTTAAGTTTCGTGTAAAGCAGGTTTCTGGCAAGGGCTGCTATTCCTGTCTTAATTGTTCTGGTTAGCGTATGTGGTGGTTTGGTTGTATATCTGGTTTTGCAGGCTGCTGTTTTGCTTTACTGTTGAGTAAAAATGGTGGTTATCCAACTTGGGAGCCAACAGGAGGTACTTGGTGGTTGGAGTGGTTGAATCCTTTCGACTTTCTTGAGGATCTAATCGTTGAACATGAGCATACTGAGTATACTTAATGGGAAAAAGTACAATAATTGGTTAACAATTCGTATAGGGGCTGATTTTTTTGGAATGAAATATACTGGTATGAGAACCTTTGATTGTTTGGTGGCTAATTGCGAGGGGATCAATCCGACCTCGAGATGATCTCCTACCGGGCGAAATAAAGCTTTAATGTCGATGGGGCTGCTAAAGAGGAAGCTGCAGGCCGTTTAAACAAGCTTTTGAAGTAGCAAAGTTGGCCGAATTTGAACTCCGTGAAAAATTGAAGAGAATTAAAGGGGTAATCGTTTCTTTGGCATAGATTTGGATTTTTATCTGGCTAATATGGGACTGTTTTGTTTTGATGTATTAGCGTTAGTTCCTTTCCCGAATGTGGTGTTCTCTTTTTCTCCGATCAGGATTTAAGAGGTTTTTAACGAGACTTACATTTTGAGGTTAATCAAATTTTACGAGTAATGAATAAAATCAATTTGCTGATAAAAAAGTAACTATATATGTAGAGTAAACTACACTATTTATCATTGCACATTGGTCGTTGATTCATTTATACCATTAAACTTTCAATTTTGTTAATTACAACATTGAACTTTAGTTTTACATATAATTATATCACTCTAATGTTAAGTTAGTATCGCGGGACAATAACATGACTTAACTTTAAGTTTGTATTAATTTTGTCAGTGAATATTTAAACATTTATTTTTTGGCATTGTATTTTCAAGTCGCTGTAGACAATCAATCACTGATTATCATCGATCGTCTTTTATGCAAAATCGATACTAAAACATTCACATTTTACTCTTTTTTTCTCCTCATAGGATTCATTTTCTACGGAATCTACTCAAAACCGACGAAATTAAAAAAAATCTATCATTTTTTAGATGTTTAGAAATATTCTAAGATTTATGTTTTGATTTAATTTTAATAACTCGCAGTAAAAAAATAAAATTATTGACGTGATATTTTAAAAACATCTAATGATGATTTGACATTATATCATGATGATATATTAATATCATCGTTAATTTTTAATAGTAAATAATTAAAATAAAATCAAAATATAATATTATATTATATATAATTTTGAAGTAAAATATTATTGGACAATTAAAATAAAAATAAAATTAAGATATTAAACGTATAGTTTAACTTACTTTATTTTGAAATGGGGACGCAATCCAGGCCCATTCTGCCCTTAAACGAAATAGGAATACAAAGCCCAGGTCTCCTCTTCCCTGCTGCTCTTTGGGCACCCACACCCCTGTTTTAACCCATTTCGCGCTTCTTCTTTCTCTGTCTAGCACTTTCCCTTCATCTCTGCGCTTTTCTTCTCCTTTCCTTTCATTCCGTTTTTTCTTTCTTTTAAATTTTGTTGAATTTTTACGGAAACAAAATGGATATGGTGGAAACTTTTGTTAGATTTACTGGCGGTTCCACCGAGTCTCAGGGAGAAGAAGAAGAAGAAGAAGAAGATGAAAGAAGCAAAATCTTTTTACAGATAAAACCCTACTGTTTGGAGCTTCTTGAACTTTCCCAAAACCCTAAAAAGCATGCCTCTTCTATTCCAGCATTGCTCCACCTGCTTCGCTCTTCCCCGCCCGATTCTCTCCAGCCGTTCTTTGAGTAATCAATTCTCCCTTTCTTCTTCTGCTTATTTCCTTTCTTTTTTATACTTCCTTTGATTGATATTTTTGCTACTAACGTATTGATTTTGGAGTTAAAACATACGAAGTCAATTACTTTAATGACACTGAATTTGATTTTTGTGTTACTTTTTTTCTGTAGCTACACTTTGTTTCCATTGCTTCTTTTGCTGGATGCTGCAGTTGATTGCAGAAGTTCGCGGAACAAAAGTGAAATTAGTAATAATAAACGAGTAAGTGATAAAGTAGCAGAAGGAGTGGTGGCGTGCTTGGAAGAGCTTCTCAAGAAATGCCATTTGGGTTCTGTGGATCAGGTCAATTTCCCCCTTTTCATCTATATTTAAGTAAATTTCTCTCTTATTTTGTTTATTTTACCTTTCGAAATATGTACATGCATCTAATACCTTGAGTTTGAATATGGAGAATGCAATGTAGATCATGGCGGATGGAGTTTCACCTGCTATTAAAAGGATATGCTTTTGTTATTTGTTATGTTTTTATCCCCTTTGTAGTAAAGCGATAAACATACATCAACAAAGTAATAGGCACCATCTCGTTTGCAGCTAAACTATAAGTTAAGTAAAAGTCAGTCTTTATATCAAATGATTGCTTAAAAGAATGAAACTAAGGAAAATAAACAAAATGAATCAAAAGCAAAAATGAGAAAACCCAGACTTAGGGAACCTTCTCAAATATGGTAGAAAGTGATAGGCAAAAGGAAGTGTAAAATGGTACTTTGACAATTCATCAAACACCTTGAATGGTGAACAAGAAAAAAAAATTATAATACAAATGTAACATGTGTTCAAATAGGTTTATTTCATATAAAGTAATGTGATGTATGCTTTTATCCATAAAAGTTTGTACATTTTTTTATTTTAATATTTAAAAATGTAATACAAGCCCATATGATACTTCTCTTAATCAAAAACCTAGTGGAAAAATGATAATCAAACTGAGGTTTATTAATATAATGGGCTATTAGATTTATCCTTCAGAAAATGATATCAAACTTAAGATTAGTATAGCACTCATGCTGTCCCCAGCTAGCAATTTATCTGTCGTTTTATTTTTATTTTAGTTTTAAGTGTTGAGCAATAACCCTTGATTTCCGGCATGAATATGGTCTCCTATGGCGAGGTTTATTATTGGAATTCAGATTTTATTCTCTTTCTCTTCTTATTTCTGTGAGAAAGTTGATGCGACCCCCTCCCCCCTCCCCCCAAAACAAAATTTCTATGAGAAAGTTGATGCTAGCCTTTTGTTTATGGGTTGATTCTATATTAGGTTTCCTGTTTGCGTATGTATTAGGATGATCATATTATATCTAAATATTTTCATTAAGCTGAATGAAATTTAATGCTTTCTTGTCACAGATGGTCGTGGTTCTGAAAAAATTGACTTATGCTGCTTTGCTTTCTTCATCTGAGGCATCAGAAGAGTTTCGTGAAGGAGTTAACAAGTGTTTCAGGGCTTTGCTTCTGAATTTACTTCATTGTTCTAATCAGTCCTGCTTGTGCAAACAAAGTCTTGATCTCCCAATGCTCTTAGAAACTAGAGACTTACTGATACCAAATAGAACTCTGAAGCTTGACTTGGAACAAGGAGAATGTTTACTGGCATTTTTGCAGTCAGAAGCAGCTTCGGCTGCTGTGGGACACTGGCTATCTCTTCTTCTCAAAGTACATCAATACCCTTTTATCTATGCTTATACTGGAGTATATTTAATCTTTTTGTTTTGGGTAATTCGTTTCATTTAATTATTTATATCAAATTGATACGTATCTTGTGGCAAGGCTGCTGATACTGAGGCTACACGAGGACATCGAGGCAGTGCAAATCTTCGTATTGAAGCCTTTTTAACCCTACGTGTTCTTGTTGCTAAGGTACTTGTTCATTCATTAGATCCTTAAGAAGGGGCTTCTGCTTGATGCATATTATTTTCTTTTTCGTATTAATTACTCCACTTTGTCTTTCATTCAACATAAGTGCTTACAATGGGCACCCTGCATATTTTGAGTAAAACTTTTACATGGGAGAAATTCTATTTTGTCTTTTCTTCTAATGGGAGTTTTGTCAAGGCGTGAGCCCAGACATGCCTGCCCCTTAGCACTAGACAACAAAAGCACCTTAGATTCTTTCAGGTGAGGCCCATTTGATCAGGTGCATGCCTTTGGTGTTTTTTTTTCTTTGTGAGGCGATAGGCATAAAAAAGGCCTGCCTGATTGAAGTTTTCTTTAGTTCCTGTTATTTAGCACTTCTTTCTTTAGATATTATACATTTACTAGTAAGAAAGAGAAACTATCGAACTCTATATTTCTCAATGTACGAGTCATGCACATTGACTAGTAAGAAAAGCTTTATATATTTATATAGATACACACACACAGTCACACACACATGTTGCACTTTCCTTCATGAAGGTAGCACTTTCTTTGTGCCTTGCGCTTGAGGCAATATAAGGTTTCTAATGCCTAAAATGTCCTATGTGCCCTTGACAGCACTGCTTTTTTGTTGCTTTTTTCCATGTAAATTTCACTATCTTTCAGACATACTCTTTGCATTTACCTGCATGTAGTTCATATGTATTTGTAAAACTTGTACCGACATATATTCCTAATGATTCCATCCAGTAGATGATTGTAGTTTTTTAGTAGAAATCACTAGTTTGATAAAGGAAATTTGAGTGTGGCCTTGTTTACGATAGAAATAGGAATAAATTAGGCTTTAAATAAACAAAATCATATCTTTCTGTGATATTTAAGCTTTTTTCTTCAGTCTTTTTTGCAATTTAAATTCCATAATTTTTCAGGCACTCTACAAGCTGCTTTATGTATCTGAGTGTGCATAAAAAAATATATTCCTAATGTTTATAGTTGGGAGAGGATTTTCTCTGTAGGAATAATTATATTGGGAAATGGGTATTGAGTGTGGCACTATTTATCACTCAAGAATGAAGGCTATTCTAGCTGTTAAGATTGTGGCCTTGCAAAGGTTTTACCTCATCTGATTTGAGTGGAGTAGTTCTAGACTTTTATTGCAACAATGCTTTATCACAGGTGGAATCTTGGATTAATTCTGTTGGCATATTACATCCTTTTCAGGTAGGTACTGCAGATGCGTTGGCTTTCTTCTTACCTGGTGTCATTAGTCAGTTTGCCAAAGTGTTGCACCTTTCAAAAGCAATGATAAGTGGGGCTGCTGGAAGTGTAGAAGCTATTGACCAAGCAATTAGAGGATTGGCTGAGTACCTTATGATAGTCCTTGAAGATGAAGCCAATTTGTCTGGTCTTGATATGTACAAAGATGATTCTTTTGGCCATAATTCAAATAAGTACAAATCTACAACTTCATTCTTGGATGAACTCCGTCAATTGCCATTGAAAGCTCAGGGCAGAAGAGTGCTAGAAAGTGTAAATGGTGAATCAATCAATTCAGTTAGTTCTAAGACTGAATCTGGAGTAAAAAGTAGCCCAGATCTTTTCAAAGGACTGGGGTCTTTTCATGTAGATCGTACAAAAGAGTGGATTGAGAAAACCTCTGGGCACGTGAACAAACTATTATGTGCAACATTTCCCTCTGTATGGATCTATGTTTGATATGTTCATTTTTACTTTTAAGATACTTTACGGCATCAAAATTTGTACCAGATAATTTATATTCATAAGTACTGCACCTTTGTTTTGATATACTGTAATTATGTTACATGTCTCAGATATGTGTTCATCAAGCGAAAAAGGTGAGGCATGGGCTTTTTATTGCCATTCGAGGTCTGCTATTGAAGTGCAATTTCACGCTGGAAAAGAGCAAACAGATGTTTTTGGTAGGTTGAATTCCATCAATTTCATTCGTAGTTGTTGATTGTAAAAATCCTCTTTAAGTGAAGGATTTTGTTTTATCTCTTCTAAGTCTTAATGAATTATTACTCTCATCATAAGGGGGAAACATTCTTAAGAGGGATAACTGAATAAGGAGGGGATGTAATATTGAACATGGGGTGGGGGTGGGGGAGAGAATATAGAGAAATAGAAGGAATGCTAAGAGGAAGAAGGGAAGAAACTAGCAAGAAATACTGGGGAGAGATAGATAGACAATGGAGAAAAAAGCCATTTCCAATTACTCAAATCTCTTAGTTTTCATCAAAAGCTACCATAAATTGAAATAACAAAAGAAACCTTGTAGGGTATAAAACATGCCCTAAAACAAGAGAGAAAAAATCAGCTATTATGATTTAGTTTAAGATAAGGACTGTTCTGGTTGGGTGGTAGACGCAGTGGTACATGTATGATAAACGGGAACAGAGGACTCTTTTAAGGTTGTATTGGTTCTAAGTTACCATCACCTCTAAATTTGGTGGGGGCCCAAGTAGCATGCTTAAGCATATTCACGTATGTTGGATGATAACTATTTTCAGGAAAATAGGTAGTGCCCTTTTTAGTTTGTAACTTTGTATTAGATGTATTATCTTTTGAGATTTTAACCTCAGTGGGAGGAGATTTGCATGGTAGTAAAGTGAATCTTCTGACCTGGAGTTTCATGAGTGCTTCTTCCAAAAGGTGCATTTAAAGGTTTGAAATTATGTTATCTTCGAAGTTCTTGGTTATAATTTGAGTTTCCGACCATGCGTTTAAAATTTTCAGGATTGCTTTAATTATCTCATTTTTCATGTTAATTTTTTTTTGTTTTAGGGCATTGCCTAGCGATTATCCTTTCTCAATGTGATTGATTCCATTGCCGTGGAATTTTTTATGAGTTGTAGCTTTTAGTTGTTTACTTGTTTTGGTATATACTGAATATAATATATCCAATAATCATGCAGGAGTGCTTATGTGCTTTGGTTATTGATGAATCTGAAGAGATTTCAGCAGCTGCCCAGGACTTCATGGAATATTTGTTCTCCGCCTCTGGGAAACATCATGTAGAACATGACATTGCTGTGATTTTTAGCAGGTTTTATACTTGTGCAATAATGTTAAGCTGTAAGTAACAAGGTGAATTTCTCCTTTTTGAATGAATTCCCTTATAAGTTCCTTTTTGAAACAGGCTTATTGAAACACTTCCAAAGATTGTGCTCGGGAGTGATGAATTACTTGCACTTTCACATGTTCGACAATTGCTTACAGTGATATATTATTCTGGTCCTCAGTTTTTGTTGCATCACCTGCAATCTCCTGTATGTGCCGTTTCCACCATTATGTTTGTATCAATAATGTGGTGTATGTGTTGTTTGTAATAAGTGATTTATCAAATAGATATCCATAGTGTTATATGTTCAATATTGAATATCTGGTTGTTTGGCGGAAATAGTGTATAGTACCTAAACTAAACAGACTTTTATATCTCCTGATGTGCACTTGGAAAATCTGAAAAGGTTGCACTTGAAAGACATGCTTATATTTATGTTCCTTGGCCATGTATATGGGTGCCAACTGCCAAGAACCAGTATTTATCCAAGTCCTAGATGTGTCAACTATCCTGTATCTAAGACACGGAATATGGTACAAAGAGTTGAACAAGAACATATTTGCATGGATTCTTTGTACAACTTGTACCTTATTAAGATGATTGTTAACAATTCTATGAAGTCATCTTCAGTCTAATAGGTAACATAATAGATTGTTAAACGTAAACTAAAGCATCAAGCATACCTAAGCTAGTGTCAATTAACAACAATGCGTCTCTGTCAACTATCATTCTATCAAGTTATGGGAATGGGAAGTTAGATGAGACAAGGCCTTAACACTCATTGTTTGAAAGCTTTGTTCAATGTTATCTTTGAGGCAGCTGATTAAATAGTAATTTGTTGGTTTCCCAACCACAAATGATATTTTGGAGTTAGATAGATGATTGCACTACATAGTTTGTGCATAAATGTATCTCCGTATATTCCTATCTTCCTTCAGATGTTTTTGTTTAAAGGTGTAAGGGTTATATGATATAATTGAATAGCAGTCGATTGGAAGATTAATGCATATCTTCCTTCAGGCGTTCTTATTTCTAATAGGTTAAGATGTAAAGGTGAAACAAAATGACCGAATAACAGTCAATTGGGAGGTTAAAGAGTGGCATTAGAATTGACTTGCCACTTTAATGTAGAAGCCATTTTGCAGATCTCAGTATCTTGTAATACCCCACTTGTCCTCTTCAAGCCTTCAGCTATAAACGCCCTTCACAGAAGCTTTCCTGAAGTATATATTAAAGTTGCTGGTAGATTGAAGCAATGTTGTCCATCAGATATTCATTGTTTCAGTAAAATATTATGATCATGATAACTTCTGTTATATTTAGGGTGGTTAACTGTTCTCCTGTTAGTCTTGTTATTACTAGTACTATTAGTTGAATTTGATTGACATTTTATTGTTTTCTTTAAAAATTAGTGTTTTGCATTGTAGATTACAGCTGCCAGATTCTTGGATGTTTTTGCCCTCTGTCTTAGTCAGAATTCGGCTTTTACTGGTTCTCTAAACAAGCTTGTTTCAACAAGGTCGTCTTCAATAGGATACCTTCCCTCTGTTGCTGAGTTGAAAGGATTACATGTTGTGGGTGAGAGTGAGATCTTACACCGTGCTGCTTCATCTAAAAGTTCAAAGCTCATGGGTATTCATGAAATTGGAAAACAACACACTGCAGAAGCTAGGCAGACATATCTTAAGCTGCCATGCATGCCCCCTTGGTTTGTTTATGTTGGTGGTCAAAAGTTATACGAGGCTCTTGCTGGGATTCTTAGACTTGTAGGTTTATCTTTAGTGGCAGGTCATTTTAAATCTTTTAACCCCTATTAATTTATTGAACTTCTGCCGTATATGCTTTGTACTTACCTTCTCTTGATTGTTTGTCTCTATAGACTATAAAAGTGAAGGCCATTTATCAGTTATTGCCGATATTCCGTTGGGTTACTTGCGTAAATTGGTTTTGGAAGTTAGACAGAAGCAATACACTAAAGAAAGCTGGCAGTCTTGGTACCATCGAACTGGTTCAGGGCAGTTACTGCGCCAGGCCAGTACCGCTGTATGTATTCTAAATGAGATGATATTTGGCATATCAGATCAGGCAGTTGATGCTTTTAGAAGAATGTTTCAGAAATCCAAGATAAAAGGGGTAGATTTTCCGGAATCTGATGAAATATCTTCCGATGGCCAGCCTCACAAACTTAAATCTGCTGTGGTGGATGAATGTGTTTGGAAAGTTGCATTGCAGAAGGGTTCTAGGAGTCACTTCATTGATTGCATTGGGAAAATCTTACATGAATATCTATGTTCTGAAGTTTGGGATCTTCCTGCAGATCATCAGTCTATGCTAATGCAATCTGATGCTGAAGTTGAAGATATCACTTTGTATTTCTTCCGTGATATTTCCATATTACATCAGGAAATTACATTAACATTATTCTTTCCACTCATTTATATTCTCTTTCTCTCTCTTTTTTTTTATTACTTTTTTTGAATTTTCATGATTTTACTGTGATTTTATTGATTGTGTTTCGTTTCTTGAAACAGGTTATTATTGATGGAATAGGAATCTTTGCTTTGTCCCTTGGAAGTGATTTTGCTTCCAGTGGTTTCTTACATTCGTCTCTGTATCTGTTGCTTGAGAATCTTATATCCTCAAACTTTGAAGTTAGGAGTTCCTCTGACGGCGTTTTACATCTTCTTTCCACTACAGCTGGCCATTCAACGGTGTGCTTGTACAACATATTATTATCTATAATTTAGCTGTATATTATGGAATTGATTCAATGGTGTTTGCCCTTTTTTTTTGGTAGGTTGGGCAATTGGTTTTGGCAAATGCTGATTATATTGTTGATTCTGTATGCCGGCAATTACGGCATCTGGATCTAAACCCTCATGTGCCAAATGTGCTTGCTTCGATGCTTTCCTATGTTGGAGTGGGTTATAAGATATTGCCTCTGTTAGAGGAACCGGTACTATTTTCATTTTATAGCCATGAGATGGCAATGTTTTACTCATTTGTGGTTTATGGGAAATGTTACATATCATGTGCCAAAAAAATGAAAAAATTAAGACATCAGAATAATTGTAGTTTTTCAACAGATATTTTCAAATTTTGAGAATATGTATTTGAATGAGTATCATGTCAACATGAAAAGATACAGCAGAATGACAGTATCCTTTCTGTTTTGGGTCTTCATGAGGGGCAGATGCTGTGCGGGACAAAATTGCATTTAACCTGGGCAACATAAAAAATCTTGTATCTGATATCTTATTTCCTGCATTTTATTTCAAAGAAAATTTCTTGCTTTTTTCTTTAATTTTTTATATATATTTAACAGGTTTCCCAGCCTTGGTAAATACGGGCTTAATGTTGATTATATGCAATGGTCTTAATTTGTTTGTTTGTTTGGTTTTTTTTCCTTCATTTCTTTATTTGCTTTCAGATTTTTTTGTTCTTAATGCCCGAATACTGCTTTGACTGGTATATTTGTACATTTGTACAGATGCGCTGCGTTGCACAGGAGCTTGAAATTCTTGGCAGGCATAAACACCCAGATTTAACTATTCCATTTTTAAAGGTCATAAATTTTATCTTTCTCGTGTCATTTTTTTTTAATTTTGGATAATTTTCATCTCGGTTCTTTTTTCATTAAAAATGGTTTCTTTTATTTATTTTTCAATGTTCTGTGCTATTTTTTCAGTAAATACCAATAATCAGTAATCCATACTACCATACTATATGTGCATGATTACCTATGGATTCTAGTTAAGATCAGTACTTCACATATCTACCTTTTACCTTATGGCTCATCCTTCTCAAACTATTCTTTTGCATCATTGATAGCAAACTATTCTCCTATGTATATTAAACTAGCATTCAGTATTTCCTTTTTTGTTCCTATCTAATCTAAAACATTTTAAATTTAAAACTCTTGTTATTTACTGCATCCTTTTGGTGTTAATGATTTCACTCTGCATTTTGTAGTTGTGTCTCAGAATTTTGTTCTCTCTTTTATACAATTCGAATTAAGAAAAAGAAAAAAAAATCTTCTTTTTTACTTTAAAAATACTTTTACTCATTGTGGTTCCATAATTTATTGAGATACACAAAAGGAATAGAGATTTAAATCTAGAGGAGTTCTTTAAACCTTATAAATCTTAAAGAAGCAGATGTAGCTTCTTTCTCAGCTTGGTTCAAGCATGCTGCTTTGTTTAGTTGAGTTTTGTTACTCTAACAGTCAAACTGCATAAACTCCCATTGCTCTTAAAGCTGTATTCATCTTATATTATTTCTTTTTAAGTTATATATGAAGATTATTTAGGTATTACCGTATTAGAGAACAAAGTTCAAAATTTTATGGGGCTTCTATTGTTAATCAATTTTTGTGACCCATTAATTATTTTGTTGTTTGAGCTAAAGTTTGTCTCTGTTTGAACTTTTTCCGTAGTTGTAATGTCCTTGGTTCTAAATCTTTTTGGTCGGTTCTATTGTTGTTTTCAACATCCTTTTTGCTGCTCTTCTCTACTGCACATCTGGGGGTGCTTTTCTCCATCCCATGATTTCCACTGCTTTTATTAAGTTGACGTTTCTGATGATTATGCATTTTTTAGGCTGTATCTGAGATTATAAAGGCATCTAAGCGTGAGGCTTTTTCCCTGCCCTCCCAAGCAAACTCTAATCTGATGCATTTCAAGTCCAAAATATCTGAAAGAGAAAAGAAAGTTCTACCAGAACTAAGACAAGGATCAAGCTCAGATTCTGCTGATGAGATTGATGGGATTCCCATGGAATCAGGTGATTGCTTTTCTTCCTTAAAAAAAGATACTTTATTATACCAATTTGAAATGTTGTACTCGTTGAAGAGGATTCTGCTTCTTTGAGATGTTCACTTTTTTCATCTTCTCAATGGTCCAACTAACCCATGCCAACCCAAACCAAGCAGCCCATTTTTCTCTCGCTTTATTTCATGGGACCTCTAATAACACAAGTAACCTATCGACAGTTTTGTTCTTTTTTTTTATTAAATATGGTTCTACAATTTTCCGAATACTTTCACTTTGTAGCTATTTTGAAGGATACAAAAAACATAAACTAAACAACTAAATGGAATATTCGTTTTCATTATTTAACCATTGTTTTTTCCATTGGCTGTTATCTGGTCTTAGGCATATGCTTTTTCACCGCACAAGCAATAATATATCTTTCCCACCATATATATGTAATTATTCTGGAAAACCAATTTCTTTGCACCAAAAGTCATCCTCTGTTGTGTGTGCACTTTTTTTTTTAAAGGTGGAGTTTTTAATTTCTTTATCAGTATCTTGGATCTATCAGAGTAGAAAAAATTGATACTAATAAAATGATGATATCATAATTGTAGAGCAATGGGACAATATTGTGTTCAAGTTGAATGATTCCAGAAGATATAGGCGAACTGTTGGATCTATTGCTGGTTCATGTTTAACTGCGACAACTCCTTTGCTGGCTTCTACGAGTCAAGCAGCGTGCTTGGTGGCACTGGACATTATTGAGGTATTTTTACTGAAAAAATTGTCATTTTAAATGGGGCAGCTGATTGAAAGGCGTTAGATGATTACTAGTTAGTAATCCAGGATAAACCTAATTACAGATAACACGGAATTAGGGTCAATAGAGAATTGCTATGGTCCATAGAATATTAGTCAAAACTTTAAGTGTGAGATGCCATAAGCTCCTAAAACATATAGGAAGATATCTCTGTTCCCAGTCCATAACTCCATTTTAGTAAATGCTGGAGAGACTTTAATTGTTAACCACTATTTCTATAAAAGGCCGCAGAAGACATCAAGTTGCAGATTCATCGAACGTTTTTGATCTTATTTTAATCAACTCTGATATGTAGGATGGCATAGCAGCACTTGCAAAAGTCGAAGATGCCTATAGGATTGAAAAGGAAACCATAGAAGCAGTTGAAGAAGAGCTTGAATCGTGTTCATTATATCAGCTGAAAGATAATTTGACTGCTGCTGACGACAGTACCGTTGAGAACCGGTTGCTTCCAGCAATGAATAAAATTTGGCCGTTCTTGGTTGTTTGCGTTCAACAAAAAAACACATTGGTATGTATTTTTCCTTTTTTTACCCAGCTGAACCGCCTCAAATTAGCATTGTTTAAGTTGATCTTACTCTTCGATTTTTCATTTTGGGTTGACTATCTCCTCATCAGCTGCTTGGTAGGTTGCAGTAACCTGACTTATTGACATTTTGTTGTGCATCACATTGGATTACGACTTTTGTTCTTTCAACAGGTTGTCAGGAGATGTTTAAGTATTGTAAGCAGTGTCGTGCAAACTTGCGGTGGAGATTTTTTCTCCCGCCGGTTCCACACGGATGGAGCTCATTTCTGGAAACTCTTAAGCTCATCTCCATTCCAAAAGAAGGCAAACATGAAAGAACGAGCCCCATTACAACTTCCATACAGGAGTGGTAATGTTTATTCAGAGGACTCTGTCGCAGCAGAAACCTCGAGTTTGAAAGTACAGGTAGCACTGCTTAATATGATTGCTGATTTGTCCCAAAGCAAAAGAAGTGCTTCAGCATTGGAAGTTGTTATGAAGAAGGTAAGTGGTATTGTGGTGGGAATAGCGTGCAGCGGAGTCGCCGGGCTTCACGATGCATCGGTGAATGCGCTAAAGGGACTTGCATCCATCGACCCTGATCTTATATGGATTCTTGTAGCTGATGTTTACTATTCAGTGAAGAAGAGTGGGTTGCCTTCACCACCAACCTCGGATTTTCCACCAATCACTGAAATTCTGCCACCAGCAGCGTCTTATAAGGAGTTCCTTTACGTGAAATATGGAGGGCAGAGTTATGGTTTTGATGTAGACATTTCGTTCCTCGAAACTCTATTTGGGAAATTGCAAACTTTTGGTGTTATCTAAACCCATTCACAGCTCAATTTTTGTATATTTAAAGCTCTGCTGCATTTGCTGCTTTTTATTTTATTTTGTTTATTTTTACTAATTTATTTATATAAATTAATAATCAGTTATAAATTGAATAATAATAAAATTATGTTTATTTTTATAATTGTGGTTTTTAGTGAGAACTGAATCAATTCTTTTAGTAATTAATAATAAATAAATATAACCGATTGTGTGTGTGGGTCTGGGTGTATATATATATATATATGGTTACAAGAGAGCAAAACAAAAGATCGGTATTAACCAAATATTTTTAATTAATAATAAAAAATTAGTATAACCGAATATTTTAAATAATCTCAGTCTGAAACATTTTTCGACAGTTAAAAATTTCCCAAAGATGAAAGGTCGTGTGGCTATCAAACATCTAGAGTAGGGGAGACTCATCCCATTGATCCAACTCTCGTCCTCTTCTGGATCCCAGTTGAGCTATGCCCCAAATTAGATGTAGTGAACCATCGTCTATTAACCATAAATTTTCCCCCTCCCTCATATTCCTCATCGTACAAATTATCGTAAACCATCGTCTCATTTACTGTGTATATGAATAAAAACCAAAACCATAACTTTTTTTTTATCAGAACATCACAAACTTTACTAAAAATGAAAGTATTAAAATTGAAATCACATGACACCATATAACGATGTCAGGTATTATTATAAATAATTATATATTTTTTTTAATTTTTCAATTAAAATTATATAAACTAAATATATGATAAAATAATAAAAAAATATTATTTTACTTTTAGTTGATATTAAATCTTAAATTTAATCAATAAAAAAAATTCAAATTTGATCCTAATAAACCTCTTTCATCCGATTATTGAAAACAAATAAAACAATTAAGATAGAATAGCTTCTTAACATTAAATAATTTAATTCAATTTTTAAAATACAATATCACATGTTATCATTTGTGTGATGTCATGCGTCACCTTATTATTTCAACTGTGACATGTCACCATACATCATTTATATTTATCACTTGAAAAAAATAAAATAATTTAAATATTCTTATAAAAAATTGATGTATGATATGATGTCACATGTCAAGTGATTATTTGAGAGTTAACACCAACATTCTCTTGATTTCAATTAATAACTTTTGATGAGAATACATATTACTACAATGTTATTTTCTTAATAATTACATCCTTTAACCATTATAAACTCCAAACATAAATCATAAAGTTAATCAAAAAAGAATAATACTTTGAAAAAAGAATTAACATGATAAAGCACCAAAAATGCCCCTTAGAATAGTTATACATGACAGGCATGTTTGTCGGCAAGGAACACAGCTTTGGCCTTTTTATAATTATAATCAAATTATATATATGAAAAGATAAGAGGGAGAGCCATAGGAAATCAAATCTTCACACACAAACTATGACTTTTAGCTGTATGTTGAAGCATTGATAATCACTCTGTTGGTTTTACAGCTTGCTGGATGGAGTTCCGACTGGTTTTTCTCTTGATCTCTTTTCGACCACACGAGACAAGCGCTTGACTTCCTCTTTCGGTAGACGGCGCGGACGGTACAGCCAATTTCCTCCATCAACCACAAGAGTGGTCCCAGTCACATATTTACCTTCAAGATTCACATAAATAATGAATTAAGGGCTCAAATTTTGCTCAGTCAACCATTAAAGCTGGTAAAACAATGGCAATCAAGGGAAAATGTTTGCTACTCTTCCTATCAATTCAAAAATAGATTTTTATATCATATTATTTATAAACCATGAAAGGTGAAACCCAGATTTGACCGTATTTCATAAATGCTTATCTGCTGGTAATGACAGGGATCAACGAAACTCACCAGCATCTGAAACAAGGTATACTGCTGCCATAGCAATATCCCATTTGTACCCTATGTGAGACGAAGGCAACTGCTCTCGAGCTTGGATTTTAATCTCGTCAGGTGCGAGTTTACTCAAGCCAGGAGTATCTGCAATAGGGCCTGGGGCAATACCATTGACTTGAATATCGTAGTCAGTTCCCCACTCGAGTGCCAAACTTCTAGTGATGCTATCAACGGCTGCTTAACAAAAAGTAACACTGGAATTAAGCACTGACTCGAGATTAAGATCGTGGTTGCACAGACATCAGAAGAAGAAATTTGTACACCAAACCTTGGCCGCAGAGACATGTATTTGGTACCAAGAAGCTGTGTAATGTAAAGTAGCACTGATATTTAAGATTGATCCGCCACTCGTTGTGTTCCTTCCATGTCCTCCCTTTCTGAGATACCCAAGTGCTTCATGGCACATTGTGAATGTACCAACAGAATCAATATCCATAACTGCATTTAGGAAAAGAGAAAATGTTAAAGCTTCATAACTCCAGTTGTATCGAAGTTGAACTTAAATATTGCTATCATTCATAGACAGTATGATTGAAGATTAGATGACACTGAACACTACAAATGGTATTGAGAAAGCTGAAAGTACCTGTTCGAAACCCGTTAGGGGACAAACTTCAGCAGAAACAAGAAAGTTGCCAGCAGCAGCATTCACAAGAATGTCAATTCGGCCAAAATGCTTGAAAGTTGATTCAATCACTCTTTTCGCATCTTCCCGTTTACGAACATCCCCCTCAAAGCCAACAGCCTTCAAAAACAATAGCAAGCAAATGCATGTCAGCTGATTTGATGTAGAAAGTAGAACCCCCCCCCCCACCCACAGAACACACACACACACACACACACACACACAAAGTAAAGAAAAATACAGCATATCAAACAATTAATGGATCAATAACCACCACATAAAGAAACAATTGCGTCAGTTGAATGAATTTTGTCATAAAAAACTTAATGCTCTGTTTTGGAACTTGTATTTCATTTCATATGTAAAGGGTAAGAGTGAAATCATATATTATGCATAAATAATTAAGGTTCAATGTAATGTATAGTAAAGAAGTATCAAAACATAGATTTATCAAATTCAAATTTATATTAGGAATTTCAAAATCTCTACGAAATAGGCATCTAACAAATCCATGGTTTGAGAAAAACACAAATGCTACATTTCTAAGTATTTTATTACTTATTTATACTATCTTTGAAATCTAAACTCAAATTTTAAAATCCAAGTTCCCAAATGCTAACTAAAGATAATGCAACAAGGTAAACACTAAGCATCCACACAATTTTACAGTTAGTTCTAAATATCTCATTGCAAGCATTGTCTACAGGAGCTGCTGATTAATTTTTGCTTATTTAATTATTGATGACACTGGTTGAAACTAGCAGTTTTATCAACCAAAAAAAGCACAAATTGGCCCCTAAAAGAAGAATAAATCAACAAAACATGTAATAACAGAGAAGAACAACAAAAAATAGTATCTCAGGAATTAACTTGAATATAGCTGAATGTATGTATATATACAGGAAGCACGTGATTAACTATAAACTATGATAAAGAACAAAGAGGTAATGAATTAATGAGATGAATCAATGAGAGAATACTAACAAAGATGGTACTAACTTCAAATGAAGTCCAACCACACACACACAAAGCATAAGATGCATGTTTCAAGTACTGTTACTCTATTGCCAAAGACAGGTCTGATAAGATATACATCGCACTCGTTTAAACATCGAAATAGATTTTTCCTTTCCTATGTACACGATATCTAATTCTCTGGAATGCTTGGCAAGAAACATGCTTTCTCCAGGCCTACTCAAAGGTTAGGCTTGAATTCACCATGCTTTCCACTTTCTTTTTTCCAAATTTCATTGGGATACCAAACAACACATGAAGCAGTATATGACCTTAGTTACAACTTACAAACAAGCAAAAAAAAAGGGGGGGAGGGGGAACAATTCAGATAGAAAAAAGTGAACGGAAAGTCACCAAAAGAAGATGAAAAAAATTAATTCGAAGATGTATGCAAATATGATAAGGAAAGAAAGTGAAGTAAATAGGCGATGAAAATTTACATTAATCCCAAGGGATTGAAGAGCAGAGACAGCAGCTTGAAGGACTTGTTTGCGTCGACCCATGATCGCAACGGAAGCTCCATGTTTCCCGAACTGAGTAGAGATCTCGAAACCAATGCCTGAGCCTTCCCCTGTAATCAAACCCACTTTCCCTTTCAAAATCTCTTCTTTGAATGGTGACTCCATCACCGTTCCTTCCCTCTCAGTATTCAGACCCAACCTTGTAATGAAGGCGAAAATGAAAGGAAACAAACACGGTTATGCACTACGCATGGATGTGGTCCACCAACCCTAATTCCACTAAAAGTTAGTGTTTGTGGACTCCATGATTCCAAGTCGATGATTCCCACTCCCCACGTTTATCGTTTTCCTTTTGTTTGAAAGAGTAAATTCTTAAATTAGAAACGGGGTCGGTATACCCTATCTAAGATAATTTGCCATATCAACCATAATATAGGATAGAAAAGCATAAAGCCAAGTGGATGAAGATACACAACATAGTACTTCAAACATTATTGAATATCAATATTACAAAGCAAATTGGGTGAATAAAATTATTATTCAAATTTTATTTAAAAAATTTAGAATAAAGTATTTATTTGGTCACTTATTTATTACTTAATTTTTATTTTGGTCATTTATTTATTTTTTAAAAATATTTCTAACGCTACATTTTATTTATATTTTGATTATTTATTGTTAAAAAATTGATGGTGAAAATAATTTAAATTTTATATTTTATCATAAATAAATATTACAAATTTAATTTTTAGAATGAATTAAATATTTATTTTATAAAAATATATAAATAATTATTTAATTCTTTTCTTATTTTCAAATGAAGTGGGAAAATTATTTCGTCTTTAATTTAGTAATTATATAAGTTAAATAATAACTTTGATTGCAAAATAAATTATTGGTTTAGTTTGGTGATTAATCATTTAGATAGCTTTTTGAAATGTCGTAGGTTTGAATCTCAAATCAAACGGAAAATAATTTATTTTATGATATAAGTTTAGTATAACTTAAATGATTTTATTGGTGA